AAGAGAGAGAGAGAGAGACTCATCCATGGTTAAGAATTAAAAAATCACATTACAATGGCAAGTATCTGCCAAAAAGAGAAAAAAACTTACTCCCGCCAAATAACGATGCGAAAATGTCTTTGGTTGTAATGGACGTGAAATCAACATATTGAGTTCCTGTTATCCAAAATAAAAAATAATATTCATAGATAAATTCAAAGTCTAAGAAGATTTATCGAGAGAATTAACTATCCTATGCATCAAATTCTATACAATTGATGACATTTTTAGGGTATAAAGAGAGTTTCTCCACAATAAGACCTGTTGCAATTTCTTCAATTGCATAGAGCTAATCTTCTTTTTCTTATAATTGTTCACTCTCTCCTCCTCACTATCATTATTTTCAACCAATAGTTCCACCGATTCTGCATTTCGTTCAAACCAGCTTTTCATTGCCTTCTCCTGCAAAAAGAGGTCAACACACTTAAGAGTGAAGCAACTCCCAGGAACATACATAAGGACTTTTTTTTTAAAATAGAGCATACATAGGAAAAAATGGAGTAGGGGTTAGAAAGACAGGAGAATTGAAGAGAACAAAAAAGATATAACCAATCCACAATCACAGAACTGTGGCAAGCACAATTATAGGATTTTTTTAAACAGAATAAGAAATATTATTAAGGGCAGGGAAAGACATAGTACAGTGTTGGAGATAATGCAAAGCCTTCTAATGAGAGAGCTCTAACACATATTACTTCCGAACCCCACAAAAAAACTCAGTATACTATCGTCCAACAGTTTCAATAGAACATAAAAACAAAAAGAAATATTAGTAAATTTTCCTTGGGCATCAGCCTATAAGGAAGCAAGAAATCTAGTGCGCACAAACAGAACTTGAATCGGGAAGGTACGATCTCCAAAAATCTCATCATTCCATTCCAATAATAGCGTCCACAATCCCGCAAACAATGCACCCTCTTCCATAAAGCCTTAGCTTTTTTTGTCGCACCCCCTGTAGACTTGAACTAGTAACACTACAGAGAAGAATGAGCAACCAAAACCAACCAATATGTATCAAACAACATTGTGCACAACTACCAAGCCACAATCATTGGATTGTAAGACACTTGATTCAATGAGAGAAAATAGATAGTTTCTTTCATAAGCAGTATGCTTGATAATGATGACTACCTGCATATCTTTAGGGTTTTACATGACCTATTGTCACTA